TTCTCAGGGGCCCATCTCCTAGTGTTTGCTTTTTCTTTTTTTTGCTATGCAACTGGTTTTAATGTATGCATCGCCTTTAATTCAGACTGTGATTGCAGTCTGCAATGCATTATAAATACCTCTTCTTAAATCCAGAAGAGATGTCAGTATCTGCTGAGAAATTTCTGAATGCAGAAAGATCTGAAACCTCTTTTCTGATTTTAATAAAATGAAATACAAGTATTAACAAGCTTTTAAAGATTTCTCTGGTGTCCCCTCTCAGCCCTGAACACTGCCTTATCTCCTCTTACACAACAGCTAAAAGGTGATTCTAGGAACTGCTAACTCACTAGGGTTTTTTGAAATTGTTAAGAGTTTTATGAAAATTAAATACAAAATATTTATGAAATAAAGAGCATCTTCATTTCTATTTGGAAAACCTGCTAACAGTTCCTATTTTCCAAGCATTAGAAAATTTTCATGGTTCTTAGTACATGATTGCTGGAGTCACAGATCTCACAGATAACAACAAATTATTTTCAAAATTAGGCCACTAGAAGTCATCAGTTCTCTTTAAAACACCTGTGAAGGTTTCAGAGGGAGAAGTGTGCTTCTCGGTGTAGTAGCCTCTGCTTGTACTGTGCTATGCTGCCTTAGGTAGACTTGAGGTAGATGTCAATATTGGTGATCATTCCTTGGTTATGTAATTTACAGAATAATGATGCAATAAATGAAGATATTCTGTAGTTAAAAAACCCCAAAATGTTATCAAGCAACTGTTATGCAATGTCACCAATCAAATCATATATATTCTTTCCTCAAAGTTTCTGTTGCAGTGGAGCCCAAGTTGCAAAGCAATTCCTGGGTAGCTGACAGCAGTTTGCTTTGCAGTCGTGACGGGTTCGATGGTAGCTTATGAATGGAGTAGAAAAATCCCTGTCAAACTGTTGTGGCTTGGTCTGGAGTGTAATCAGACTTGCAGAGCTCAGTAAGTGCGCTGACTATTTCATCACAGTGCTCTTTGAATTGCTCTGTGTATTCCCTTTTTTCTGTATATTCTTCTTATCAGTATTACTGTTGTTACCATTCGCTTCCTTTGCTGTTCTTTTAAACTGCCCTTATCCCGACCCACGAGTTTTGCCTTTTCCTTCCCATTCTCCTCTCCACCCCAGTGGGGGGAGGGGTGATAGAGCGGCCATGTGGTCCTTTGTTGCCGGCCAGGGCCAAACACCTTTGCAGACACAAACTGAGCACGAGCCAGGAGTGTGTCCTGGCTGCAGGGACAGCCAACAGCACTCTGGGCAGCCCAGTGCAGGGAAGTCATGGAGCAACTGGAGCAAGCTCAGCAGAAGGCTCCCAAGCTGACTGAGAGCCAGAGGACATGCCCTGTGAGGGGGGGCTGAGGGCTTAAGTGTTGCCCGGCCTGAAGAAGAGATGGCTGCAGGGGAGACCTAACAGCAGCCTACCAGCACCTGTGAGGGGCTTATCAAGAAGACAAAGCCATCCACTTTGCAGCGGGGCGTTATGGGAGGATGAGAAACAACAGACATAAACTGGCACAAGAGAAGAGGTAGGATAGATGGAAATACTCTTTCACTCTGGGGACAGCCAAGCACTGGAGCTCACTGCCAGAGAGGTTATATCATTTCCATCCTTGGAAAATTTCAAGACTTGACTGCTCAAAGCCCTGAGCAACCTGGTCTGACCTCAGAACTGATTCTGGAGCTTGGACTAGATGTCCTCCCATGGGCCCTTCCGACTTGAATAATTGTCTGTGATTCATTCCATGAATATTTTAAAACTACCTTGAACTTCCAGCTAAATTTATTTGTGATCTATTTGTGTCCTTGAGTTCTTTTGCTTCTTAGGTTTGTTCCTTGCCTAAAATAAATTTTATTTGGCAACATATTAACTGAGAACAATAACATTCTCTCTGAACTTTTGTTAAGCAGAACAAGTCATGCCCCTCTAATTTCCTCATGTGAAATAAAGTATCTACTCCTTTTTCATCCTTATATCCCCTCTCTGCACCTGTTCTGAATTCATCTATCTTGCATGTAGGTGATCACAGCACTGCAGTACTGCACAAATCCAAATACAAGGTGAATGTAGAAATATTCATATCCTGCACTAGGCGCTCTTGCTACTGAAAACATTCCGCAGCACAATACATAGATTAAATTTACTTTTTTTTCCACAACTGCACCCTGCCCATACTAATCCTCTCACTGTTCATCATTTCCTGATCTTGCTTTATACATGTAGATATATGTAAATGCAGACATATGCAGAATTACTGTGCCATAGAAATGATTAATGATGACAAATTCTACTATTAAAAAGGGTTTTCTGACATTTGCCCTAAATATTTCTATCACTCATTACTCTCAGCTGGATCATTTTTTTCCCTCAGAAGCTGTTAGGTGTTCTAGACCGAGGTGTCTTTCAAATATTTGGATACAGAAATCTTGTCCTCTTTTAAATTACATGTATTGATCTTGTCTGGTGAGTAATTTATTTCCAGCACCCTAATTATTTGGATGTGAAGAAAAAAGATTTCTTTACAACAAAATGTTTTCATATAGTTCTCAATTTTGTTTTTAGGATCCTGTAAAAAGACCACTGAAATATTCTTTAAATTTCAGCGATCACAAGTATCTAAAGGTGAGAGGTGTAACCTTTTAAGTATGTTGATCACAGAATGCCTTCTTCTTCTTGTATTAAGTGCTTTTTGAGATACTAACTCTGATTCCAATTTGGTCATGTGGAACCGTGGTCCTTCTGGGCAAGCAGACTTCATGTAAGTATTAGTTAAGAACAAGTAATTTCCAGTGACACAGCAGGCTTCCCCAGTCACATTTTCTCTCATCTTCTGTTTCTCCTCAAATTCCTCCTTCAGGAATTTGTTTAATCTAGAAGTGAATTCTGATAGTTTCTCAGTGAGATTGGCAGTCATATGTTGGTAATTTGCCATGCAGGAGAAAAATCAGCTTTTTTTGAGATAGCATTTTGTTGTTTGTGGCATTCATACTTCCTTTCGCATTGTTTTAAGAACAGCCAGTCATCCATACATTCGGTAAGTGTAAATTTGAGCTTGTGAAACTGTAAAGCAGAATGCTGGACCCTGTGTAGAGTTCATTGGCTAAAAGTTTATGAATATATAAGGCACTCTTAGCTCCAATGCTTAATTTATCATCATTTCACTTCCAAGTGTAGTTGCAGAAGCTTCCTGTGTCTGGTCTTGGCACGTGAGCTTCTTGCAAAGGGCAGGCATGCACTCGTTCCAGCACCATCCTATTGATCCCTAAGAGGGAATTTTCCAGCCACAGCACTCCAGCTACTGCACAAAATAACTCTAAAATCTTTCAGCCATTGTTTACAACTTATTCTGAAACAGAAAAATATTCAACTGTGTGCTGGGTGCAGATGTCCAGGTCGGGGAGGTGGGGGTGAGAGCTGCAAGGGAAGCCTCTGTGAGGAGAGGCTGGGACTGGCCCGTGCCGGACACAGCGAGTCCCAAGCAGAGGTTCCTGTGACCCTGGAGAGATCTTGGTTGAGCAGGTATCTCCTGCAGCCCATGGAGAGGACCATGCCAGAGCAGATAATCACACCTCAGCCCCTGGAGGACTCCACTCCACAGGAGGTGGATATGCCCTGAAGGAACTGTGGTCCATGGAAAGGCCCCACAGAGGGTGGGTGGAAGGGAGTGGGCAGAAGTGAAGTGTTTTAGATTTTATCTTTTTTTCTCAGCATCCAACTGTCTTTTAATTGGCAATAAATTAAATTAACTTTCCCTGTGATGTCACTTTTTTCCTCATGATGGTAATTGGTAAGGGATGCCTTAGTTTTTACCTTGACCCACAAGCTTTTTCATCTTATTTTCTCCCTCTGTCCTGTTGAGGAGTGGGAGAGAGCAGCTGCGTGGGGATATGACAGCCAGCAAAGGTCAACCCACCGCAAACTGTCTGAAGTAAGCTAGAACTCTCAGAGTCACTTCAGCCCTACTTTTTCCACCTTGATCTTCAATTGAGTTAATTATTAACTTGGAAATTATTTTGATTTCCATTCTATTAAATGATATTAAGATTTTTGCAATGAGAGAAAAACAGAGAAGGAAACTTCACAGCATTGATTAGCTATGGAAAATGAAGGCTTTGCATTATTTCTACTTCAGTTTTCATTATGACTTATTATTATTCCAGAAATTGTAATGTACATTTCTTCTTTTTTTAAAAAAAAAAGTCAGTGTCCTATAGTTAGAATGGTAGCAGAAGTTCAGAGGCTGCTAAATTCAGCAACACTGCTTGGAAGGTAATGTCATTTCCTTGCACCGGCACAGCACCAGCACTCTACAGATCTTAGAGATTCGGGAGGAAGTGCAAGACTCTTCCCCTGCCTGTGTCATACTTGTGTCTGACACATCACCTGTCTGTGTTGGAGAGCTAAAGGAAGAGCTGGCCTCGTTCCATCATGTTTTGTGGAACATCCATTAGACTTCTGCTTAAAGGCAAGGGACTATATTTCCTTTACTTACTTTCACATGCTTGAACTGAGCTACTAACAACAAAATAAAGACAGAACAGGAAGAATACTTCACTTGTGTCAACATTTTTTTCTTTTTGGAAGAAGGTTGTTCAGTTTAATCCTCATGAAAGAGGGAAAAATAACAGCAGTGGATTAAAGCCAGAGTTTAAGAAAATACATTTAAATATTTTTTTTTTACTTAAAAATGGGTTTCCTTATCATTCAAAGACCGAAGAGTTAAACTATATTGTATACACCTCAGGTACAAATTGACAAAAGATCTAATAAACCAGACTATATAAAAAGCAAGAGACTTTTTTTTTTCCAGAAAAATGTATTTGTGTTTTAGCTGATCATATAAAAAGCATTAAATTTTTAAAAAAGTGTATGTATTTTTTCAAGTGTTAATGGTTTCACCATTCATTGTAACTACATTCCAAAGTCCTGTAACATCAGGGCACATTATCCTTATCTGTGTAGTACAGTGAGCATAATCTTTACACTGAGGTCACTCTCATCACTACTTCCCCAGAGCCGTTATCTTCTGCTGAATCTTCCTGAGGTCTCATGCGGTTGAACAGATGTAACAATACATAGCCACACTGAAATCTCGGTGAGGTTAACTGTGTTGGATGAACTAAACTTCTGTTTCTAAATGCAGTCAGTGGTAACCACAATGTCCTTCCTGCTGAGGATTCTCCTCTATTGCTCTCCTCTATATCTGTGGCTTTATCATAATTTAGCACATCCCAGTGTAGATTCACAGCCCTCCAGCGCTTAAACACTCGATAGACAGATGCACCTTCATGTACTATCAGTCCTGAAATTAAGAAAAACAAAAATCAGTTTGTACAAAATGTTACTGGATACCTTTTTGAGAGCAAACACAGATGAAACACATTGTAATGAATCTGGCAGCTGCCAGAGCCTAGTAAATTACTTGTAACTCTGGTAATTAAAATAAACTGTACATATGCAATATGAGTGGTTATTTGTTTAAGATCGGGAGGCAGGAACATGTTAAGGAAATAAAATTGTTCTCTATGAAATCTCAACATAACCAATATTGGAATAATCTGAGCATGCCTAGCTAAATAAAGTATTTAGGTTTAGGTAAACCAATATAAAAGAACCTTACTGGCAGATTTGTAAATTGACAGTTTATTATAGTGTTATCCTTGTTCACAGTAAGCGCTGTTTATTTACTGAGATTTGTACTGGTTTAAGTAAATCTTTAAGTAAGTTAGACCTTCTGTAATGAACAGTACAATCTCAAACTTATTTAAGAGTGTTTTGTAGAATTCAGTAGAGATACAAACAAACTTAACTGTTTTCACATTCTTGGTTCAACTTGGGAACATAGATTTATGAAAACCTGAAACACCTGTAAGTATAATAACTTTCCTGTCTTGCTTCAGTAGAGCAAGAAGAAATTTAATATTATTGACTGTAATGAACATGGCAAGGATGATAGGCTTTCTACTTTCTCTTCAAAATCTAGTACACAAAAGTTGAGAAACATGTTCTTTGTCAAGAGCCAGGAAATCTTTTAAAAGGTCCTTCAAGGAAAATACATGGTATCTGGAGTCCTCAATAGAGCAAACTGCTTATGAGGTTCCACATAGGTGACATTTATATTTATTGTATGCAAGAAAACAATCTATTTACTTAAATGAAACTCTTCATTTTTCATATGTATATATATATGTGTATGTATTTATACACACACTCTTTACCTGTAAGTATTTAAATTGTAGATTTACTGGGGAGACACATGGGGCTTCAGCCGCCTTATTAGGTTTTTCCTCAACCAGCCTGGTAACTTCTATGGTTCTGAGCAATATCAAGTGTTTCCTCTGACTCCCTGCTTTGGGAGACCAATCTGCCTAGCCAAACACATTTATAAATTTTTTATCCAGTGTGTTTCTTTCCTAAAATTTTCCTATACATGGTCACATCTATAATATGATCTGCAGCATCACAGGCTATAAACCTTTATCCCAAGAGATGGTATATCACCTGTTCCTACACAATAAAATTGTGATTTAAGTGTCTGAGGTCTCTTAGCAGGGTTAGCTGATACCAGAAAGGAGACATTCAGAGAACGATGACACAAGCAGAAAGGATGATAAAAACATTTATACGAACAGCAAATCTCAGACTAAAGTGCAATGATTTGCAGATAGCAATGCCTACTCTAACACATTTTTAGAGATCATTACAATGAAAGATGAGGAAACACAAAGATTGCTTTCTGAAGGACATCGCAGCAATTGTAGCATCTCTGTAAGGCTTTCAGGTTGCCTGGAATTCATTGAAGCATCTGATACAGCAAAACTAATGCAATATAAAATTAATTAGATGTCAAATATTCTAAATGTATTTTGTATCAGCATAACATTTTAGTAGAAAATTTTCTTGATTGCAAGATGTCTATCTTCATCTTCTCAGATACATATAAAGCAAACTGTCCTAAAAATTTAGCAGCCATGTTAATATACAAATTCTCCTTCAAGACTGGCTATACTGTCTTAAAAAGTATAAATGTGTTTGATCACATCCAAAATCTACAAAACAAATAAGCCATGGTTTTATTGCTGTGACAACGCAACGCAATGTGATAACGTCCCCTCCTTTTTCTCTGTTGGATTTCCTCTAGAATGATAAGGAAGATGAGCATAATTTTCCCTCTCTTTGTCACTGGATCATAATATCCTTTGGCCCAGTTTCCTTCAAGACTGTGATGAAGCAAAATTGAGAGAAGCTATTTAACCCAAGGTAAAGATTTTTGATACCTGCCTGCTCTCCACTGGAACATGAACAACATATTTCAGAACAGAGAAGGAAGCAGCTGAGAAAGAATCATTGAGCTACATGCAGAACATTTCAACAGCCAAAAGTATCCTCCCAAAATTGCAACAGAAAAAGTCAGAGAACTTCTTTTCAGGAGCTCTTTCTTACCATATTCAAGCTTTCAGGATTTACTGAAATTACATTTTCAAAGTTTTCTCAACAATGACAAGGAAGAGAATTTTTCTTTAAAATGAAAGCTGTTATTCACATATGCTCTAAAAGAGCTAAGGAACAAAGGATCAAATATTGCAAGGCTTGAAATAAAGTTGTCACATTTGGCAATGCTGAAGGAGAAAAGGAGTACTTTCATAATTCCTCCGATAAAAAGCTTTAGCTCCCATCTGATAAAACTGCAGATCAAAAAAGACCTATGTAGAAGAGGCAAAATAATTCCAGTAGATCTTTTGTCTCTTTGAAAGGTATTTTCCAGTGGGCAGGGAAAAAAATTCTCAGAACAAAGTTCTCAGCTCCAAGACCACAAACAAGGGAAAATCTGGGTAAGGCTTAAATGCTAGAGGTTTTCCAGTTCCAAAGAAGTTCTGATGCTCAAAATGCAAGTAGTTAGTCACTGAAGTGAAGCTAGAAGAAAATGGCGAAGAATCTTCTTTTTCTTAAGAGTTCCACAGCAATGAATGAGGATATGAGAGAGAAAGCAAGGATAAATCCGTTAATAATATTGACTAGTTCCAAATACTGTGGATTGAACAGCACAGAGGACATAGTTGCATAGTCCCAAGGAAAAAAAATTGCTTGTTTGACCCAGATGACCCCAAGAGGAAGTGTTAAAATTCACTACTGCTAGCTTTTCTGAAGTTCTGTCCAATTAATATCTACAAGGAACAGAGTTTTGGGATGACAAGCCTGGTAAAATGTCCTAAAGACTCTAAGAAGACTTTATCTTCAGGATTTATTTGTAAGATGGAGTGATTGTAGTGGGATCCAGACAATAGCATTATGGGGAGATCACAATTTTATTTTATTGCCGAGTACTATGAGATCCAAAGGATTTCTTACCCTGAATCACAAGAACACTTGTAATTTTTCATACTGAATGTCTTTACAAGAAAGCAATTCCTCTTACTTCAGATGTGGTATTAGGTTCCAATATTGTCTTATTTATCACACTAATCTTACTTATAATCATTTAGGAATGGTTCTCCAAGAAACCTCACAAACTTTTACCGGGGAATAAAAGACCCTTTTCAGAAACAGACTTTACCACTGGACAAAATGCCAACTCTTAGTCCTATTCTAGGGTCTACAGACAAAAAAAAAAATGCAATTCAGTGCTTAAAGCATTAAAGTGAAACATGTCCACTCTAAAAGCAGCAATAAAACTCCCTCTAAACTGTTTAGAATTAGTGAAAGACTGACTTTCTGAGTCAAGAAATACTAAGCTCAGCTAGATGTATTCATTATCAGTAACTTCAGCCTGTACACTTTTACAACTAAGGGAGTCATATGAATGTTGCTAGGCATCAGGTTCCTTGGTGAGGAAGAGGCATGGGCTCCCTCACATGGGCTCCCATCTCCTATTCCCTTGCTGTAGTACTGGTACTACTCAAGTTTCCTAGTGCGATGTTACAGTTGCTTTTCCTGCTCTAGAGGACCTGCACTGTTGTTCTGGGATAGCAAGTAAGCTGTTATTATTTTTGAGAGGTTTTGTTCATGTTAGAACCATTCATGACTAATAGTTATGATTATATTGCAGTGAAAATATACAAAATTATATGACCTCACTGTTACGATAAACAATTGCTAGGTCTACAAAGCAGAATGGCAAAGACTTGGTGCACTGTCCTTCAGTGGCTAAATAAAGGTTTTATTGATTCTCTCCTTTCATATTAACTCATGAACTCCCTATGGTAATCCCTACATGGATGGTCTGATATTAGCACTGTCACTGCAGTAGCTTTGGGTTTCAAAGGCAGTAGTTCTACTTTATTAAAATGTTCAAGGTTTGCCTTAGGAAAACTTCGACCATCAGTAAGTTTCAGAGAAAACCACTTTACAACCAGTTTAGATGCAGAAATGTACAAACTAGTGACTTGTAGGATTGAAATTAAGTCTGGTAAGTAAAAAAGATGGTCCTGTTAGGAAGAAACTAGAATTCTAGAAAAATTTAGATTGAAACAAGAAAAGAAATGGATACTAATAAAATATTGGCAATCTGTAGTCTTTGGGATATTTCTTTTGGTGAAAAGATGATCAAGACCAAGAATTAAAATACGAGTGACGTCATTTACTTGATAAGAAAGTGGGTGGTATGCTAACTATGGTACATACATCACTCATCGGGAAAACAAATTCTTATGTGCAAGTTTTCAAAGATGTCATATAAATATGTCATCACCTTTGGGAAAACTGCTTTTAAAAATGATGCAACAAAACATTTCAAAAGGTACAGATATTTACACATCACAAATGACCAAAAGTATGCGTATTATTTATGCAAAGCTATAGGGAGGCATAACTGAAGGCAGTTGGAATAAGTCTTGGTCATACTACCAGTAACTCCAGCATTTGTCTTGAAATATCTGCTGCACAGGAAAACCCATATGTCTGCATAGATTATTCATTGAAATAAAGAGAGATTCCAGTGACACCACAGGTATTCACTCACTGTGAACCCTGTTGAAAACTGAGAGAATGCCATGGATGACTAAACACAGATGAGAGGAGAGGAGACACTGAGCGAGAACTGTGGCTGGCTGTAAGCGTTACAAGCTTCATGATATAAGAGGCTAGCAATGGTAAAATCATATGTTCATGCCTTTAGGAAGTCATCAGCATATTTTTTTTTAAATAGTTCATGAGTAATAATTACATACATCTATTAGAGAACTTTACTTGAATGTTTTAAATTAAAATGAACAATTCAAAATCCCTCACTTTATAATGAAAGGAAAAGATAAAATTGAATAAAGTTGAATATACTAATAAATATTTTGGAGATTTACAAGCACACCTGTTTTTACAAGCTTACAGAATGCAGATTACTTGGATTATATGCAGAATAAGTAGGCTGAATTAATCTGGATCATCAAAATTCAACAATTACCAAACCTCCTTTATACATCTTTCTGAATTTCCAGATACAGTTTAGTAAACTGTTAAGTCGTATCTGCACTGAACTTCATAATCACAAAACGTGTCCAAATATTTAACTATAGTCAGTTTTACACAAAAATGTCCATGTATTATTTATGATAGGACTATAATATATGCATTTATGTAATTATAGGAAAATCAGTTTATCTGGTGGGTGAAGATGCCCGCAGGTTTGCTTTGCTCTTGCATGTTGCCAGTTAGGCTGGAAGCTCTATAGCCGTGTGAGGTCCATGGTCAGTAGCTTCCAGTCCAGAGGTGGCTTGAGCTTGACTGGCCTCAAAGGCAGCTACATGACTGCATGTATCAATCTGTTGAAGGCTTGCCTTACAATAATCTACTTCTACACATAAATACACAAATATTTCTGATCACCGATAGATGTTCTCAATTGATTTTGAGATTAATTTAGTTTAGGTGTATTAACAGACAAATAAATGGAAGAAAATCGAAATAGTTTGAAATAACTAGCTATTCTAACTAGCTGATGCATACCAAAGTAAATTTTTTACAATCATAATCTTTGTGAAAATACCAGAATTCCACATAAATGAAAAGTTCAGAATGCCTGAAGCACATTTTGTCTTCAATTAATGTTTTTTTAAGCAAAAGTAAAAACCTTAATATTGAGTGTTAAGCCAGAAAAAGTGATATTCAGGAATCAGTCAGTAAAAGGACATGTATCTGAGCCCTTTTTTTCATTTAAAAGCCAAGCACTTGTCCAGAGCATTAGAGACCTAGATTCTGTTCGTTTTTCTCTCTGAGAAGATTTGGGTTCACAGAAGAAAGCCTGTGTTCTAAAATATTTCTAGAGGGGGCTTCTCTTTGAAAAATTACAAAATTAACAGAACTGCTGATTCAGCTGAAATATAAATACACTTAGAGTAATGGGATGGTTTCAATACAAGATGATATGGCTTTATGGTTGGAGCAAAAGCCTTGATATTAGGAATCACTCTGTTTCTTTGCACTTTATTGAGCAGAATTCATCACTGTTCTTCTGAATTCCCATACCTCAGATTAGGATAACATCAACATTTGTCACTCAGAAATGTGAAAGCAAACATTAGATAGCATTTGACTTCTGGATTTTCTTGGTATTGCAATTCTGTGTTGTAATGTTTACTGTAATTATTATTTTTTCTCTGCCAATAATCGTAGTTATTCTAACAATCGATTCAAGGTTGTTTTTTCAAGTATTAAGGGGATTTCCATTTAATATTTCTGGGTCCATTATCTTTTATGAAATTTCAAAACAGCAAAATAGCTCTGCAGTAAATTGCATTTTCTTTTATAAGATTTCAGCTAGAGTTAAATGACTTGAGAATTATTAACTGTATAGTAAGTTATTATAGTCAGCAGTATTAGAACATTTCATAATTGTTTATGAGATACAAAGAACTCATGTCTGTCTTCTCTGCTCTTTCCTATTGCTAGAACAGTGACATATATAAGTCTGTGCAACTTTATTTTGGATATGTAGTTTGATGATATCTGCAAGGGCTTTTTCTACACTTCATGATGGTACAATGTGAAGCGTCATCAGTAGAAGACTTGACAGCATGTAATTTTACCGTTTGCTTTAATAATGTCTTTGTTATTTTCATCTATTTAACTTCCTGAACTTTGCTAACCATCTATTTCTTCAAGAAATTGAAGCTGATCCAGTTTTCACCACTACGATCTTCGGGAGACACTTTGATGAATCTGAGAGTAAAGTTTCTTAGGTTCTTTTCTCTTTGCAGTATTTGTGACACTGTAAAAAGCAGCATTTGCCAAAGGTACCAGCTGAGAATAAATCTACAAAGAACTGCAGTGATTGATTAGAGTGACCAAAAATAGATATAGTCACAGTCTTAAACCACAGTCTGTGCTGTTTAAAGATTTTGAGCTTACCTATGCATACTAGATCCATAAAACCATACATTCCATAGCAGATTTGAAAAAGGATGTCCTTTCTTTGCCATACTGCATAAGGGCTGAAGGCTGACCATAGAAGCCAAGTCACACTTGCTACTAAGAACAGAGATCCTAGGATTACAGCAACCATCTGCACTTTCTCAACCAGTGTTATAGTAATGCTTTGCCACTAAAAGAGAAACAAAGTTGTATAAGATAAAAATGTTATATTCTGTGATTGTACATTCAATTCCACTTTGTTCCTGAAATCAGAAATTATCTTAATGTTTATACATATCTTCATAGCTCTTTACTAATATCCTCTATACTGACATTGTATATAAATTCTTGTACCTATTTCATTTTTAGTTAACGTGAAAGTAATAGTTGCTTCCCCCCCTTCCCTCCAGTGTCACTATCATCACCGTCTGGCTGAAAACTTCAGAGGGTTGATAGTTTTTTTTCTGTTTTGCATACATCGGCAAAAAAGGACTTAGTCTTAGGAATGAAAGTCAGCCTTTCGTATTTGTAGGCTAACAAAGAGAATAAAAATATATTGGGAAGACAATCTTAACTATGTTTTATGTTAGTGTGACAAGTTGAAAGTGACAACTTTCCTTTCCAACCCACCTCCCCTCAAGTCTGAAGCCATTTTCCACTTTCATGCTGCTCACCAAAGCAGTTCCAGGCTATCTCCAGTCATACCAAGGGAGTTGGGTTAACCAGTGTTAATGTTACAAAGAGACACCTGCGGTCTAGTATGAAAGCAACCTAAAGACTCAGAAAGAGCCCTCAGTACGGGTAGCATGAACATTTCTCTTCAGTGCACCTCAATCATATCTGCCTTTCCAGGGAAGGCTGTATCCTCTGTATGTGAGGTGACTCAGATTTACAGTACGACAAGACTTAAATATAAAAGAGTATGCTTACTGAACTCTGTCAAGATAATAGAAATAAAAATTTATTAAAACAAAGAGTCACAAAGGCAAAACACAGTACAAGGAAAAAAAGCATTCTAGGTTACCCTTGGCTATAATTGTCGAAATTACCTTGGCAGACCCTCCACTATAGCCCCATCACCTATTCCAGAGCTAGTATGCAGACTTTGTAGGCTGTCATCTTTCCTGTTCCTAAATTTGAACATGCCTGCCCCCTTCCATTGCAATAGGGAGTAAGTGGAGAAAGAGCTACTGGAGTAAGGGCTATATTACCTCTTTTCCCATCTGGCAATAATTCTTCCTTTTTACTGTTTCTTTGCAAAAGCTTTCTCTTTTTACCAGCAGCTGGGTATCTAGTACTGTATAATCGTAGGATGCTAGAATAATTCAGGTGGCAAGGGGCTGTGGGAGGTCTCTAGTTCACCTTTCTGCTCAAAACAGGGTCAGTGATGAGATCAGACCAGGTTGCTCAGGGCTTTATTCAGTAAGACCTTGAAAACCTCCAAGCATGGAGACTGTTCAGCCTCTCTGGGGAACCTGTTCCACTTTCCACTGTCCTCAGGTTGAAAAATATTTTCTTTAAAAATGTTTTTCTTGTATTCAGGCTGATCCTCTTTTGTTTCAATTTATGCTCTCTTCCTCCCTTCAAATACCACTGTGAAAAGCCTGGGTGAGCAATGAGGTCCTCTGTCCCTTTCTTCTCTTTCAGCTTTTTGCTTTAACTTTTCTGCTGTTGCCTAATTTGCACATCTGGTGCTGCATGCCTTCTCGTGTTGCAGCCTTCTGAATATAAAGTACAAAAAGATAACTGTATAACCTTTTTATAATGAACTTATTAAACTCCTACTAGCTATTTCATTGAACTTCAGCACTTGGAACGGGGCTGTTCGTATTAAATAATACCTTTTTATGGTAAAGCAACTATGGCTCCTCATTTCCTTTGTTAGGAATTTTTTGTATAAAGTCAAGGAAGGTCATTAACAAGTGATGGATGACAGAATCGTGTAAGCTTCTCGTGACTCAGATATTACATACAGGATTTAAATGTCAGGACTGATATTCATAGAACCCTCTTTAGACTCAATAGGGATATGTTCAACAAAATTATTTTTCATTTCTCAGCTGAAGCCACAAAGTGTGACTTGACAGAAAACTGTCAAAAATCTATTGGTTGTATATTTCTTTCTATCTTCTTTCATTATCAGTGTAAGACAGACCTGTAACAAACATGTTCAGAATGCCTGAAATCAAAGTACATTCACATGAAATAAAGCTTTAACTGTCAAAAAAATATTAAACTGTCAAATTCATGGAAGAAGCCGGCAATAAATTGAAAAATCCTGTTGTATCACTGAAATAAACAGCCGATCCTTCACAGTTCATCTTCAGCAATGCAGAAGTTCCTAAAATCATTTCAACTCCTTTTCATTTTCTTCTTTTTTTGAACTTAGATTGCTCACAATTATTTTGCAAAGATAGCACTGAACAGAAGGAGAACTAGCCCAAATATTTGGGATAAATAATGCAGCATGCAGTCTAGACAAAAGCCCATCCCTCATTCTGGCATTGTCTGACAACAAATTTCTATTCCGATCTCCCAATCCCAAACAGAATCAACCACTCCTACCACCTTTTTCCATATCATGAGGACTTTTGTTGGTTTACCCAAACTTTTTCTTTCTAGAAAAGCTTGACTTTGAAAAGTCCTAAGAAACATAGCGATGATCCTCACCTCTTCCTAGCATCTTCTCAAGAACTTCTTGTAGTTATTTTGCTATTCTCCTGGTCAGATGAATTGTCTGTCAAGAATGCAAGCAAGTGAATCTCTCAACCTCAATAAATTCAGTAATTACAAAGATTCAGCATATTAGCATGCTACCAACCAGGAAGGGGAGCCATCCTGTGGGTAGTTAAGGCTTGGCGGTCTGAAGATGTCGCGCTGTACGGAAAGGTAGTGTCCCCCCCCTGTCCTAATAGCCAATACCCGTGAAGTAAGCAGACGGAAATGATGCTGTAAACCTAGGCTATATAACGCTGTGTTATTTATCAATAAACGCCATTTGCCGTCCACCACATTGGTGTCTGCGTGCTGATGACCCGAGCGGCCGAGGGGTGGGTCGCCGAGCCGTCCCTGAACCAGGTCGCCACGCCAACGAAGGCGACACCATCCCAATTACTGAGAAAATGCTGAAGCGTTCCACAGGTTATAGTTCCTAAATCCTTTGCCTTTAAAAATCAAAGAACAGTTACATAACAAAACAAAACAAACAAACAAAAAAACAAAATAAAGCAATTGAGACCTGAAAAGAGGTTTGGATGCTTTCTTCAATTGCTCATCTATTTTGGCCTTTGTGGTATTCACTACCCTTCTTCTACAAAAGAAAACTGTAGTCCTCCACCTTCCCCAATACGAAGGTCAGCAATAACCAAGCAATTGAAACATTTTAGGAAAGTTACTTCCCTATTAGTGTAATCTGTAAGCTAAACTAACTGATGAGATCCCACAGTAGATAGAGGAGGAAGATATGTGTTGGGTATGCATAAGACAATAGGCATGCAAGAGGCCCAGAATGTTTTATGTGAAACTGCTAACTTGCTTCCTAGCGCTAGGCAGTCTGCCATAAGAACCCAGCATCATAAGTGACAGGATGGGATGGATTGGTATTAAGCTCTAACGTGATCAGTTTAGGGACCTTGGTCTCTATGTATGTCCCTTCTCAGCTCTAATGGCAAGGAGACTGTGGATGTTCCTGATGACTGACTTACCTCAACTGAAATTTCCTCCTCCTTTCCCCACTCCAATCAGTTTTGATTCAGAACAATCTGAGATTGTCTCTTGTGAAATAAATGTCTTGGGTTTTTTCCCATAAGTTTTGAGTTTGGATTCATACTAGAAAAAGTGAACAGGTCTTACTGAGACAGACATGTTCTTCACATAATGAAAGAAGGTACTCTGTAGTTGTAACATTATTCACATGTAAAGAAGTGTGGAAGGTTCAGTCCTTTATTTACTTATCGACAGTATTAGCCACTAGGAACTACATAGGACTGTATTGTTTGGTGGCAATGCATTTCGTAGTAAGTCTTGTGAACGGGAACTGGATTTGTGGTCACACTGGTTTTTTCTACCTCAAGTCTTACAGCATAGCCACTATGTGTGAGTATACACTCTGACAGACACCCAGGAACAGAAGACTCCTTTTGTAAAAGTAAGATGCTTTTTATAATATCAAAAGTTACACTCTCTTTGTTTTCTGACCATCATTTACCTTCTTGTACACCCTGTTATATGTTGTTACAGTCACTGCACCTTTTAATGTTAAATTAACAGCTTGCAATAAAGAAGCAACAAAAATAATGTTGTCAAAATAATTCAGCGATAGTTAATGTTGAGAAATTATTCCTAATTTGTTTTTGTCATTTGCTGACTATACTTTCCATAATCAGTGACAGTTCTTTTATCTAAGTATTTTGCCAAACTAGAAAAGTTCTCTACAGCCTTATAGTGTCGTCTTCTGTAATGTACAGGACCCTAAAAAGTAAATATTATGAGAAAGACTACCTTTTTATTTTTAAAACTAAAAATTAAAAGGAAATTTTAAATATTTTGAAACTAGATAATTATAATAATAATGAGTAATTTTTCAGATTCACAAAAAAAGTTCATTTAAATATCTAGGAAATAGGAACCTGTTTCTTTTTTCCGTCATTTCCATAGTGTTCAGATGTACCATGCCGTCGCTGTTGCCCATGAAAAGAATGCATTTTACTTTAATACACTATGACAAAATCTTCCTTTGAAAATGGTGCCTTCATAAACAAAATATATATCATGCTTCTGATTTTAATATAATACTGTCTACCCCTTGAAAACTTCCTACACTTTTATTTCTACTGATACTTCATTGTATTTTGCTCTTACAACCTTTTATTTACCACCGGTCTTCCTTTCATGAGTCCTTTGGAAGTCTAGTACATTAATGGCACATTATAGTTTTAATGCTGGCCCCAGAAACGTTGCTCCTCTTCTCTTCTAAGGGCTCTGTCAAGCAGAAATACTGCATTTTTTCTTATTTTTTAAGGTTGAGACTTCCAGAAGTTGAAAGAAACATTTTGCTTTGATGGTTTAATTGTTAAAGAATTAAGTTAATACAATTATATGCATGCCCTTACGAACATAAAGATGGATATAATATTCAGAGATCTGTCATCTTTGAGATAAAGCGGTATTAACTTGCCTTTTTTTTAACGG